CTGGGAGCACTGTCCTTGTAAGGAGTGTCCCGTACTGACCAGACATGCTCGTTCCCACGTCCTGGTTTTGGATGGTCTTGTAGAGATACACTGACATTCTTAAAACCCCCTGTGGTATTAAGATTTATTCAGCCATCTGGTATTGCTCTTCTCGCTCTTGGAGAAGAAAATACTAGCTGTTTGAGCATCATAAAATGGAAACTTTGTTCAGATTACCTCATCAGGGTACAATTCCATTTTTGGTGCCTGGAATGATCAGTTTGGAGAAATTCATTATAATTAGCAAAAGTGAAAAACACAACACGCAAAGCAGGATCTGTCCCCCTGATTATTCTCTCATTTTATTTTGAAAGCTTTGTGTGTGTGCATGCCAGTTTTCTTATTTCTAGCAATCGTTGGGGTCCAAAGGTTTTCTACTTGCTTTAAAAGTCAATGAGGGGTGGGTGGGTGGGGAAGCAAACCACATTATTTCACCTAAGCTAGCTCCACAATTAGAACTTTCTTTGCAAAGAGAGAGTTGTAAACCTGTGGCAATTCATCTATGAAGCCGGAGAGAAGAACCAGTGATTCCCTTTCAAAATCCCCAGCAGGCAGAGAGCCCCGCACAGGGGAGGTGCCTCGTGTCAGGTCCTGGGCCAGCGGCTTGGACTGTGATGCTTTGCTTATCCCCTCTCATTGACGACAGTGCCAGAAGTGAGCATTGAAAGTGCCAGAAACAGGGTGGGAAAATCATTCTTCATCTGCTTCCTAGCTTACAGGCTCCAGGAACATCTTTGCTATTCACAAACAGATCAACATAGAAATATTTACAGTCAGCTGTTTCTAGCTCAGAAAACCTGCTACAGGCTCTGAAAACAGGGGGCATATGCTCTTCCCCGTAGATCACTGTGAGCGAGCTGTGTGTATTTCAAACTCTGGAGAGCAAATAGACGAGCTCGGATCCCTAGGGACAGGGAGAATCTTGGCATCCTCTCGCCTACTGGCTTGGGAGTGTTCTAGTCATATTTCTGCTTTTCATGATGTTAGCAAAGTATGAACACACTTCCCCTATTGTATGATCTCCATCTTCTGAAATGTCCACTGGCTTGACTGCTCTGCTCTCAGTTCCATTTCTGAATCATGCTGGAAGCGGGGGCTGTGTCTAAGGGAAGAGGCAGACAGAATGAACAGGGCCTCACCTGTTCCACATGAGCATAAAAGGTTTTTCAGCTCTGCAGGGCCCCCAGTGCACGTTTCTTTGAGAAGAGAATAGGGTGTTGCTTGGCTAGCCTTGGGAAGGCTTTCTTTAAAAACTTCCCTGCTTTCTTTTTCTCCCAGTTGAATGGGATCTGAGCCTTGGTGAGCCCCAGCATCTGAGAGCTGGACAGCTCCCGGGAGATTACATCCTGGTCCCCAATCCCCAGCCTCACAGGAGGAGGTGGAAGAACAAAATGTGGGATCCTATGAATTCAGTGCGGTTTGGGAGAGCCTAGTTCTAATTCGGACAGTATTCGGGAAAGCAGGAATGCAAAGTGCCCATGGTGTCCAGGCCACAAGGCAGAGCCTCAGAAGCCCTTTGCCAGAGGACATTCTGCTGGCTCAACAGCTGTATAAATGTCACTGAGAAAGTGACAAGCATAAGGGTTGGCATGAATTTGGAGCCTGTCATGTGCGGCTTTAAAAACATTGCCCAAAGGCCCAGCAGAATATGCAGAACGGCAGCTGCTGCTGGATGCCCGCAGGATCTAAACTGGTAAAGCCAGCCTTTCAAAATGCCTTTTTGATTCCCCGCTCCTCTTCAAAGAAACAGACGTTCCCACACTTTGGAGGGCTGCAGTGGTCCCAGGGCATGACAGAGAGTACATTTTACCTGCTCTCCAAAGAATGAGTTGCTGCTGCCAAAGCCGGCCAAATTCGAGTTCTGGGGGTGGGACGAGGAGGTGATCTAGTGCAGTCTGAGGGTCTGGCCTTGAGCTACCCACCCCAGGTCTTGACCCTGGAGTTTTCAGCGGCCCCTTCCCTTGCCTGTCTTGTGCCTCGAGGCTCAGGTGGCATTGGCTGCTTGAGCTGGAACTTGTCTGTGTTAAAGTGTCCGAACCAATTTTTTTTATGGGGACACAGACCAAATTCCTGCTCCTCATCCACGCTGTACTCATTGACTTCCTTTTTTTGTTATTGTTCTTTTTTTCCCAAGAGATGCCAGTTTGGCAACACTTAGGGCTGCCTCTCGGATTGAAATCTTGGAGACTTTCATCCATAACCCCACACAGCCCCAGGACAGTTCTTTTATGCTCCCACATTCAGTATAATTAGCCAGATAGACTTGCTAAGCTGTCTGGTTTGAATGAATTCCATTACTCCTCCATAAGAATTCAGGATGAGGCCAGTACCCACCAGAGCCAACTGTCCAGCCTCCCCCTCCCATTCTGCTACCTCAGGGGAGGGTGTAAATGAATAGAAGAAGCAGAGCAACGTGGGTAAGGACACGAAATTAAGAACCCATTGTGCTTGCTAGGATGGTGGCCAAATGGGGCCACTTTCAAATGCCCGTAAATCACTTAAAAACCTTCCATCATAGCAAAAATGTAGAACAGCCCTGAACAATGAAGCTCCTTACATATTCTTCTTTTAAACAGAATATTTAATATGTATTGGCACAGCTTTGCTGTTTATTTAAGTGCTAATCATTATTCAAAAATGTTTAAGTGCTTCATTTTTATTCCTGAGATAAACCTGATTTAATCTTCTGTTTAAAAAGGGGGGGGGGAAACACCCTCTTACCTTCTTTAACTTGGTTGTTGAAAGCTTTCTACTTTGGCATAAGTTTATGTTTGTACCTGGGGGATCTCTTTTAAGAAGACACATTATTGGGGCACCTGGGTGGCTCTGTCGGTTAAGCATCTCTTTTTTTTTTTTTTTTTAAAGATTTTATTTATTTGACAGAGACAGAGATAGCGAGAGCAGGAACACAAGCAGCAGGAGTGGGAGAGGGAGAAAAAGGCTTCCCGCCGAGCAGGGAGCCCGATGTGGGACTCGATCCCAGGACACTGGGATCGTGACCTGAGCCAAAGGCAGACGCTTAACGGCTGAGCCACCCAGCCGCCCCAAGCATCTGACTCTTGATTTAGGCTCCGGTCAGGATCTCAGTGTCGTGGGATCCAACCCCGCGTCAGACTCCACTCTGGGCGTGGAGCCTGCTGAAGATTCTCTCTCCCTCCCCCTTGTCCCTCCCCACCCCTACTTGCTCTCTCTGTCTCTATCTAAAAAGAAAGACACATTATCAGAGATAATTTGATAAAGCTGCAGTTTATTCATTTTTATGTGCTATAGCCATGATTATCTTGAACCTACAATTTGAGGTCCTGCTTTTTTCCCTTAACATGGTACTGTGAGGATTGTCCGTAGCGCTATGTGAGCACTGTGATTTTCATGGGTGCGTCGTAGTCCCCTGAATGGAAATATCACAGTTTGCTACTCTGTGCCTCTGCATTCATCATCTTGCATTGTTCTATGATTATAAATAACTCGACCAGAATATCTTCTAGAGCTCTCCATGTTTTTGGATTATTTCCCTAAGGTGAAGAGGGTGATATATCATATATATATATATATAAAGAGGATGATTGTGTTTTAGGCCAGGCCCTCAGAGTGGAGAGTATACACATGTCTCTCGTGGACCTTGCGAGATGCAGAGTCTAACTCAGCAGGTCCGGGCAGGCCTGACTTTCTGCATCTGTAACTAACTCAGGGATGCTGAGGCTGCTGGGTGGGCTGAGGCAGTCTCTCCAAGTCGCCAGTAGACTGGCCTCCGGAGTATTTGCAAGACCGGTGTTACCAAGCCTCTGTGTGGGCGGGTTACCAAGGAGTCTGCCCCTCAGGAGTACTTTCTCACCAAGAGGAAGGCTTTGGTTAGGCTGGTGTCTAGAGAAGGCAGGGGCTGTAGCTTCAACGAGTGTCGGAAGCTCAGTCCCGGCTGGTGTTAGAATCACTCGGCGAGCACACGCGTGTACATATGCGCACACACATATACTGTCCATATACACACTCACACTCACGCACACACACGCTCCAGACCAGTAGACCAGCACCAACAGAATGTACGGCAGTGAGACCTGGCTACCAGGATTTTGTAAAGCTTCCTAGGTTTTTCAGGTTTTCACCTTCCTACTCCATGGGTAGCCAGGGTTGCAGACCATTCTAAACCCACAGAAGATCTGCTTTGAATCTCACTGAGTTCCAGCTGTGTTTAAACTTGACCGTGTGAGAAGTCTGGGAATTACATATGCTGCACCCAACCTCCACACTTTCGACAATGGATTTAACATAGTCATGAGTTGTCTCTGCAATTCTAAAGATCAAGAACCATGATTTTTAGGAGAAAACAAGGCATCTGTCACTGCCAACCTCTCCATCAAACTCATTCCTCCATAGTTGTGCTGGACCCATCTTACTGAGCGCCCCCAAGCCCCGAATCTCTTCTTTCCCTCACTCTTCACATCTCAGCAGTCATCACAGTCTTATGTTCTGTACACACTTTTTTCTTATAGAACCCAACACATTATATTAAAATCCTCTCTACACATGGCTATGTCTCTTTCAACCGGACCTTGAGCCCCTTGTCACAGAGACCGCATCGGAGGCACTTTGTTATTCCCCACCTAGAGCAATGACCGTGTAGCATACAGTAGATACCCATTAATCATTGTGGAATGAAGGAAGGAAGGAAGGAAGGAAGGAGGGAGGGAGGGAGGGAGGCAGGGAGGGAGGGAAGGAAGGAAGGAAGGACAGATGGACAGAAGGAAGGAAGGAAGGACGGATGGAAGGAAGGAAGGAAGGAGGGAAGGAAATAGAATACATTTTGATCACACACAGCCTGGAAGGTCATTCTTGCCTAGACGGTGCCTGGTGCCCAAATGCCTTGGCCCTGGGGTGTGCGAGATGGTAGACAGGATGCCCAGGATGTGCTGTGTCCCTGCCACTCACCACCTGCTAGCGTAACACCTTCTGTTTCTCTTTGGCAGTTGCCTTTTCTGGCCTCGGCTTCACGACGTTCTACTTGGCGGGCAAGCTGCATTGCTTCACTGAGAGCGGGCGGGGGAAGAGTTGGCGGCTCTGTGCCGCCATCTTGCCCCTTTACTGCGCCATGATGATTGCCCTGTCCCGTATGTGTGACTACAAGCACCACTGGCAAGGTGAGTCCCGGCCCAGGGCCTGCCTAGTCCTCACGGTAGTCTGACACTCTCCTGCAGCGATGGGTATAGAAAGGTGCCTGTTCAGGGAGAACCCGGTGCCCACCTTCACACCAGAGTAGGCTGAAATAACAGCAGATATCGTTTTAAAGAAAACAAGCCTGTTCGTGTGAGCTCTGACCCCCATACTGCCCTTACTGGGGGTAGAACTGAAGTCCCTCCTCCTCCTCTGTGCTCAGGTCCCGGCAGGAAGGCAGACTCTTGGCCTCAGACCCAACTGTGATTTCCCTGCTAGATCACTTGCCTCAGTCTTCAGACTTGGTGCCAAGTGGTGTTTGGCTGCTTGCACATCTCCCATCCATCACACAAGGACATATTTCTCACCACAGATGCGCTTCCAAAGGACAGGGGCAGCCCAGGGATCAATGCCAGCAGCGTTCTTCTGAGCTGCTGCTGGGAGGCTGTTGTGAGGCTTACCTGTATGTATGACTCCTGGAGTATCTGAGAAAAGTGAAAATAGCACACAACAAATGAGGGACTGGAATAACACTACGCCACGCCATGTCCTCCGGCAGATAAGCTGCGGTCCCGGCCTGCCTGAACGTCAAACAGCACCTGCCCCAGCAAACAGGGAGGAGAGACAGAAGTGATGCCCATGGGACATGAGCCCTCCAGGAGCACAGGATGTAGGGCCATGTTTCGCACAGGGCGATCCTCAGATCACCTTGACCAGGCCACCCTGAGATAGGAGGCCAGCTCTGGGGGTGGGTCTGGAGTGGTGGCCAGGAGTCTGCATTAACAGGCAAGTCGGTTATTTCTTTTTTTTTTTTTTTTTAAGTTGAATAATTTTTTTTTTTAAAGATTTTATTTATTTATTCATGAGAGACAGAGAGAGAGAGAGAGAGAGAGGCAGAGGGAGAACCAGGCTCCCAAGGAGCAGAGAGCCTGATGCGGGACTCGATCCCAGGACCCCGGGATCATGACCTGAGCCGAAGGCAGACGCTTAACCATCTGAGCCACCCAGGCGCCCCAAGTCGGTTATTTCTGATGAAGTCTGAGCAGCTTTAGGGAAGAGCTCCAGTGTGTCAACTTTAAGCAAACAGACTGAATTACATGTGCCCAAATCCAGTTTTCCTGGGATCCGAATGGCTTTCCACGATCAGCCCGTGGCCTGCCCCTCCTCTCGCTTGCCTGTTTCTTGCTGCCCCCATGCAGTTCCCCTCCTCCCCCCTTTTCTGTCTCCGAAGCCAGCTGCCTTGTGATCCTGCACACTTCTCACCTCTTCCCAGATGTTTATTCCAGTGGTAGTGACGTAGCAGATGAGGCCAGAGGTGAGGGGTGCTCCTAGCTGGGGACATATTCTCCCCACCTTTTCTGGCGCCTCCTGCTCCTCCTCGTACTTCTCCAGCTTCTCCTGCTCCTTCCCTGGCCTCAGCTCCACCCACCAGCCTCTTGGAGCTCATGCTCTGGGCTTTATGAACTCCTTTCTAGCAGGAGCTTTGAGCTTAGAGCCAGGGGTTCAGGGGAAAGAGAGACTGATGCATGGTCTGGACAGGTGGGTGCGTCAGGTGCTGATCAGGGTCTTGAGGTCCTCCTAATGGGGGCGGTCACTAGAAGCCATAATGCTGAGCCCTGTGCCCTCCCTTGTGATCTACTTTTATCAATGACTTGGATGAAGTTCTAGATAACACAAAGCTCCATCACGGGAGGGAAGCAGGGGCAGAGCTGCTGAGCCAGAGGACCAAGGCATACCCACCGCACCCGGGACTATTTTCCAGCAGAATCATTATCACCCAGATGAGGAGGGCATTTCCCCATGAAGAATATTACAAGCTGGCTGGTGTTTTATGGACTGCTTGTCATTTATCCCTTGTGAGCTGTAGTTTCTTCTTCTGAACTTGGGAACAATAATCCCCCAATATTTCACATGCTGTTTTATAGACTAAATGGAATAATGGATCTGAATGTACTTTGTAAATGAAAACATATTACACAAATGCAAACTGGTATTGTTGTTGCTTCGTGCATTGTTTCTAGAGAAGGATGGGTTGTGTTTCCCAAACAACTGATTTAGAGGCAGACATGTTTTTGGAACATGGTCTGTTTTTTAGCTGTGAGTCCCTGGTTTGCACTTTTATTCAGTCACTTGGGATTTGAGAAATGATGAAGGGTTTCATATTTGAGTAGAGTGTTGCTTTATCTTGGAAGGCCAGAGGAGCCTTTGTGTAGTGATCTCGTCCTGAAACCCTCAGACATGAGATTGACCTCTCTTAAATACTTTTGGCCCTGATTGATTTTTTACTCATTACCTTGCTGTGGCTGGCACATCACGAAAGGATGAAGAGTCACAGTCCCAGGCTTTATGGAGGTGGCGGACGCATGACGCAGCTGGGGCACTGAAGGCCTGCCGCCAAGGGGGCTCCGGCCCCGTCTCATCCAGCGGGCAGAGGAAGGAACTGGGAGCAGTAGAGGGAGAATATGAATGCTCTGTGGGGTGATAGGAAAGCAAAGCAAGAGACTTGATGTTCAGTGATGTTTAGGGCCAGACTTGAGGTGTGGTAGACTCCCACAGGCAAAAACGAGTGTACGTGGGGTGTTACAGGTCTTTGATGTGGCCCAAGTACCAGTTCACCCATGTCATCTATTCTGTTTATACCCCCAGAAGCAGCCAGGAGACGAGTGCGCCTTCTCCTCGGACTCTTTAATGGGCCCTGAAAGGAGTCTGGCTCATTTTGCCCGAATTCCCTTTTATGAGACCATCGGTCACTATCTACGCCAGTGGTCTCAACAGGGGGTGACTGTACCTCCAGGGGACATTTGGCATTATCTGCACATATCTTTTTGGTTTGTACAACTGAGGGCTGGTGGTATTGGTGGTTGCTCCTGGCACCTGGTGGGGAGAAGCCAGGGATGCTCCTAAACCTCTTACAACGTACAAGACAGCGCCTCCCTCACAACAAAGACCTACCCAGCCCCAGATGGCTACTGCTGAGGCTGAGAAAACCTGATCTAAGGTGTACCTCGGCGCCATCTTTTTCCCCCCTTATTACATGTTAAGAAGCAGCAGTGTTCAATGAGTGGGACATTTTATTCTTTGAACACTCACTCATTAAGGGAGTAGTCAGGGAGGCCTCCCAGGTTTCCAGCTTAGAGAAGGGATGGACAGTGTGGGTGGGTGTTTGAGGCAGGATGCCTGATGGAGATTTAAATAAGTTGTTTTTCTTCACAGACTGAGCTGTCCAATGACCATGGGCAGACGCCACCTGTCATGATGATAATCCATGCAGAGCCCCATAGGCATCAGCAAAACCCAGATCCCTCTCATTATAGACTTTAGTTAACAACATTAGTATTATGAGATTTTTATGACTCCATTTCGATTTTGACTTACACAACTGCGTCTAATATAGAAGTACATCCAATTACTCGATTATATATTCTTATCCAGTAAATAGCCCATAATCCCAAATGCCTCCCTCTTTCCATTATCATGGTTATTTTCTGTTATCAACACCCTTCTTGTCTTTTCTGCCTTCCTAGCTCCACTCCAAACAGACAAGCCTGTTGTTTTATTAAGTGAAGAAAATGGAGAGCACAGGCCATGGCAGGAGGGGGCATGTGAAATATTTAGCAGGACTTCTGCAGAAATAAAGCCAGCTAGATGGGTCCTGAGTCTGTATGTGGCTGAGAGTCTCCATGTCTTTGTGACATGCCCGCTTTCAGGTCAACTGAGAGCTACAGAGTTTCATGGGTGATGCTAACTGCCAGGCCCAGCACCCCACAAAGAGGTTGCCCTTTGTGATTAGCCATGTGTTTTCAAGAGTTAAAACTTGTGGAATTTCCCATCTAAGAAAAGCGTATGTGGAGAAAAATGTGCTTACTGAGCTCACGTCTCCCTCAACTCATAGACTTGTGTGTTTATGATTTCTAGTCAGTGAAGAATTACGGGAGTGGCAGGAATGTATTGTTTGTTATATGAATGGACATAATCGTGAGGTCGTTCTGGTCCTCAAATTCCTATATCTGGATCCAGGCTTTCCTCATGTGACTCCACCTTTGGAGGTAATCTTCCGACCAACACTGGTTTCTATAATCATAATGTCATTTTAAGCAGCTCTGGGTGCTTGTGTGGGTTTTCTCTCTAAGAAAGAGCATCTCCCTCTGAATGTAATAACAGAAAAATGGATCTCAAGGGAGGAAACGGTCCTTCATTCCCACGCAACCCAAGCTTAGAAAGCATCCATGGCAGTCACAGATGCCATATTTGACTGGGCTGAACTGTTCAAGGGGACTGCCACTGCCTTCGCCATGTTTCCCTGACTGGGCTGGGAAAGGGTTTGTGATTTGAAATGAATTTTTGTGTAGTTACCAGACTTCAGGAGATTATCAGCCCTGCAGATGAGGTGGTTGGGGGCAGGGGACACTTTGCTGATGGTTCATGTGCCACACTAAAGAGCCAGGAAGAGGCTGCTACCCCTGCCCCTCTACACACACACACACACACACACACACAGAGTTGAGGGACACACTCTGTTAACCAGGTGTTTCCTTGGGCTGTCAGAAGCAGTCTCTAGATTTTCTGAGCAAAGTGAGTTGAAAAGGAGCCCTTGGAACTATATTACTGTTCCTACCAGAATCCCACCAGCCTTGAGTAAAACAGAAACATTGATATTCTCCCACGGATATTCTTGGTCTGGAGTGAACTGATTTCAACTCATTTTCCCTCCACCGTCGGCTGCCCTCTGTGGCAGGGTCTGTATTCACATTCATTATCAGCTGCCGAACGTTGCTCAGGGTCTGGGAGCCTCTCAGCCTCGATGACTTAGGAGTCCGCCCACCTCTGCCTTCCTACTTTAGGCATCCCCACAGGAGGGCTGGGGCTGTCTGCAGCACTCCCATCACCTGCCTCCTCCCTCAGAACCCATTGGACGGCGCTTTGGGCCAGGCCAAAGAGAGCATGAGTCAGGCCCTCTGCCCCCTCTGCCTCTAGGTTAGCCCTGGTCTTCCCCTGTTGCTAAGTTCCCAGGGAAGATGGATGTTGGCTGCTCACAAGGCTCATTGATGACCAGCTGACTTCACGTCACTCCCATCCTTCTCTCCTCTACCTTCTCTCATTTTCTCTGGATTCTCTTGCGGGCTCTCTGTTCAAAATATTTCCAGAATCCGACTCCCTCTGTAGGTGTGCCTCCTTCCCTTCCCCCTCCTAACTTTGGCTCAAGTGTTACCTTCTGGGTGAGGACGTCTTGTGATGACCACTCTTGGAACTGCAGCCCTTCTTCCGCACTCCCTATCGCTCTCACCTTACTCATGCATCACCGTCTAACGGACCGAGTGGTTTATGGTGTATTGATTACTGTCTGTCCTTATCCACTAGAACAGAAGTCTGCAAACTTTTTCTGTAAAGGGTCAGACAATAAATATCTTGGGCTTTGTGGGGGCTGTGCAGTCTCTGTTGCAACTCCCGGATTTGGCTATAGTAATGTGGAAACAGCTATGGACAATATGGAACAAAATAGTTCGCGCAGTTCATAGTTGGGGAACTCTGCACTAGAGTCCAGTCTCCATGCGGGCAGGGATTTTCGTCTCTTGTTGGCAGGGCACATCGTAGGTACTTGTGTTAGTTCCCTCAGACTCTATAACAAAGTTCCACAGACCCAGTGGCTTAGAACAATAGAAATTGTCTCACAGTCCTGGAGGCTAGAAGTCCGAAATCAAGGTGTGAGAAGGGCCACACTTCCTCTGACACCTGTAGGGAAAAGATCCTCCTGTGCCTCTTCCAGCTTCTAGTTGCCCCAGATGTTCCTTGGCTTATGGCACCATCACTCCAATCTCCGCCTCCAGTGTTTTCCTTGTGTTTCTTCACATCATCGTCCCTCTGTGGGTGTGTCTCCAGTCATATGAGATGAGAGCCCACCCTCATGACCTCATTTTAACTTGATGACCCCCGTACAGACTCTGTATCCAAAGGAGGCCAAATTCTGAAGTACTGGGGTTAGGACTTAGGCTTATCTTTTTTGCAGGGTGGGGGGGACACAATTCAACTCCTAACAGTGCCCAATAAATGTGTTGAATGAGTGAATGAATGAATGAGTCTTACTAAATCATGTTTCTTTCTTACTAGTATCATCTTTTTCTTCACACTGGTTTTATTAAAATTTGGGGGGGAGGGTTATTAAAATTAACCTTTCCTCTGCAAGTTCTTTCCCTTTAAAAATGAACAAAAAAAATTAGACTTTAAACATTCATTCAGTCCTTTTGTCTCTCGTGCCTGTGTCCCAGGCATATTCTCCCCTGGATGTGTGGTGTTGAAGAAGACAGACATGGCGGCCGCCCTTCCAGCTCCCAGTACACCAGATAGATCGTGTATCCTCTGTGCTATGGAAGTTCTTTCATAGAAACTCAAAGTTACAAAAACAGAAAGCTTCACTAGTAGTAGAATGAAAGGAACAGAAACAATCATGTGGGGTTGTTGAGTTTGTCAGAGCTGATTTTTACCGTAGAGTCCTGGGTCATAGAGCCCAAGGGATACAAGTTCCCAAGTTAGGCCAGCTCAGTGATATTGGATGTTGCCATGGTGACAGAGAGGGATGTATTCCCCCAGGGGACTTGACAGCATATCTCCAGAAGATGTGCTGGTTTGTACCGCAGCAGGTGAGCATGGCCAGTACGTACCTGCACTTCCGTGTTCCAGACCCGGTGAGATCCTCTCCTGTCCTTTGACCTCATGAGAAGGGGGTGGGGGTCCTGCCCATTTTACAAATAAGATTCAAATTCAGGTTGCCTGATTCAAAGTCTGTCCCTCTTTCTACTACCATTGGAGCCCATCTAGTGTTGTTTCCTTCCCCCTACTTTGTTGAGGTATAATTCGTAACTTAGAATTCATCCCTTTTAAGGTGCACAACTCAGTGGGTTTTAGTATATTCAGGGTTGTGCCAACCATTATCACTAATTCCAGGAAATTTTCTTCACCCCAAAAAGAAACTCCAACCCCAGCCCCTGGCAACCACTAATCTTTCTTTCTTTCTCCACGGATTTCCTTATTCTGGGCGCTGCATATACATGGGATCACACAATGTAGGGCTTTTTGTGGTTGGTGTTGTCGATGCTTTAGTGCATCTCAGTTCACCAGACATTTACTGAGTAATAACTGCTGGGCTCTGGAAAACGAAGTTGAGGAAGGCTGTTAAGGGGGGTCAGCACCGAGTGGTAGGTATGGGCGAAGAAGTGTGCACAGACAGTCTCCCCGAAAGCCAGCAGGGTCTCTGGCCCATGCTGAGGCTTCCACAGAGCTTGAGGGTACATGGACTACCTGATGGTCAACTCCTGTCCTATAGAATCATAAAGACACCAACCCTCTGGTAAAAGATGGTCCTTCCTTCCGCTTCCCAAATTTGCCAAGCCCCTTCCTTCTTTCCTCTGCCTGGAAGACTACAGGTGTCCCCCCTGTCTCCACTTCCCACTTCCCCTGGCTCACCCCTGCTTATCCTGCACGGCTGGCCTGGCGGGGCTCGTCCTCCGTGAAACTCGCCTGGTCCGACTGGAGTAGCCCAGGCTACTCCACTGGGTGGTCTCTCAGACCCACGCTTCCCCTTCGTGGCGTGTACCACGGCTGGGGCTCACTGATAAGGCTGTCATTAGTGTCCTTCTGGCCCCTGAGGACTGTGAGGTCTGTTTTGTTCAGCCTTGTGCCCTAGAGCCAGACGTCCTGCTGGGCACCTGATACCCGTGTGGAACACAGATGTGGGTGGAATGGAATGGCACTGATGCTGAGTGAGGAGACTCCCCAGTATCTTGTACTTCAGGGACACCGAGATCCGTTTATTCCCCTTTTGAACCCTCCAGTCCCATGCTGCCATATTTAGGGTAAAGTCAATCCCAAGCGTTTTTTCCCTTAATAAAGGCCTGCCTGTCTCCTGCCTGCTCTTCTGTCAGCACAGGCCCGACAGGATGTGAGTATGATTTCATCAAAATAACAATAACCCACTTGAGGCACTTGATGACTGTCTCTCTCATAAAGTAAGTCATTTTTTTGGATCTTGTTCTCCACCTTTGTAATAAAGCCCCACATGACTTTGCTGAGAAGGTGGCTTGCCTGGACCTTGCATTGCCCTTGTTATTTCTGATGATGCTGGTGGACCTGTGATACTACGTTCCCCTCTTTCCGTTCAGTGGAAAACAGCATGGGCAGGACTCGCCTTGCCCTTGGATGCTGCCCCATCAGTAAGCCTGGAGAACATTTGCTCAGGACGATTCGATGTCCTGTGGTCAGTGGTGCACCTGATGAGATGCTGTACCCCAGAAAATTGCCAGCCGAAGGACATTATTTGTAGGTTTTGCTCTTTGGTCTGTTCAGTAAGTCAGTGGCTCAAATGCAGATGTCATGGATCATTTCAGACTCTAATAAAAAATCATGCCCCATGGGGCTGTTCCCTGGGGTTAGAGAACAAAACAACAGTGCAACTCTCCGACCTTGAACCCTTGAGTCCTGGCACGTTTTTATAGGCTGCGGGCCACAGGCGATGTGAAGAGCTTCTCCTTTTAAGGAACTCGATTTAATCCCGTTAATTATGCCTTGTCTTATTTTATTTTTCCCTCCCTCCCCCTATGATCCCCTGTTTTGTTTCTTAAATTCCACGTATGAGTGAAATCCTGTGAAATCAGAGAGGGAGACAAACCATAAGAGACTCTTAACTCTAAGGAACAAACTGAGGGCTGCTGGAGGGGAGGTGGGTGGGGGGGGATGGGGTAGCTGGGTGACGGGCATTAAGGAGGGCACTTGATGGAATGAGCACTGGGTGTTATCTGCACCTGATGAATCCCTGAACTCTACCTCTGAAACTAATAATACACTATATGTTAATTAATTGAATTTAAATAAAATAAAATTTAAAAAAGAAGAAAAAAAACTAGGCCTTGCAACCCCACTCAGGAATTCATGATGCTATTTGCCTCTAAGAGGTATATGGAATCCAACAAGATTGGAGATTGACAGTTCAGCATGATAGCAACCTTCAAAAGAGTCCTGAATTTCTTTTGTTAGGGGAGGTTTTCCATTGTGCTAGAATCTTCCTGGCAAGAATAATCCATAGACACAGTTGAAAGCACCAACATGCACATATACATGCACATACAAAATGAGGGTTGTTGGGGCGGGCTGCTTTCATGGGGTCTCTGTTGGGCATCAGCTGAATGCCTTCTTGGGCAAGGGGCTGCCCCCCCACCCCCGGTGGAGAGAGCTGTTCTGCCTGCAGATGCCCCCCTCTATCCCCCAACTTGATGAGATGTTGGAGGGATTGGGATTCTCAGAGCAGAAATCTGTTGAGTTGCCAATCCTGGTGTACAATAAAATGTTTTCTTTACTTTGTGACTCCAAAGTGTATTTCTTCCCTGGGAAATGACTTTCGAGGCAGAGACCCGCACACCCGATGAGTTTCAGTAGCTCACCAGCTGCTGTACTGCAGGCCTCCAGCGGGAACTTGCTGAAGAACAAGAAATCACAGCCCCACACCAGGGTATCTAGATCCTATAGAGATGGCTGGATTTCTTCCAGATTCTAGAAGAGATTTTAGAATTCAAGAATGCAAATCTGAGTTCATGCGATGCGCAGGTACATATTAAGGACTTAAGAGCAAATCAAGGAAACATGTTCAGGGGATCTTTTCGTCCCAGAAATGAAAAGATCTGCAGAGGCCACCAAGATCTATACCTCCAGCGTGGTTTCTCTTTCCTTTAGTCTCTCAAGGGGGTCCAGCAAGCAGACCACTCGCTGCAGTAGGTGAGAAGAGTGCTTTCTAGAAAATGTAACTGGCCACATTTGAATGCGTTGTAACACACTTCTCCCATTTTGCTCTTTCTGCCTAGATTCTTTTGTTGGTGGAGTCATTGGCCTCATTTTTGCATATATTTGCTACAGACAGCACTATCCTCCTTTGGCCAACACAGCTTGTCACAAACCCTACGTCAGCCTCCGGGTCCCGACGTCGCTGAAGAAAGACGAGCGGCCCACAGCTGACAGTGTGCCCAGCATGCCCCTGGAAGGTATCACCGAAGGCCCTGTATGACTAGGGCCTCAGGAGGATGGACGTTGAGCCCAGGGCACGCTCTTCCACCCCGGCATCGTAACACAGCAGAAGAGGTTTTCTGTAGTGTGTTTCTCATCCGTTGTTTCTCAAAATTCTCCTTCTGCTTCCATTTTGCTGGTGGTATTCCTGCTACTTTAAATGTGTCTTCTCAACTTTCTTGAATTTGCAAAGGAAGGACGCAGGAAGAATCTCAGAGAGACATATGGAAGGAAGCCGCAAGGACAGGGCGGGTGTAACTTGGTCCGTTCCTTTACCTGCAATGTTCACTGTTAACAGCCACCGTCCTATGTTTTCATGGTCGTAAAACATAATAAAACCTCCCACCTGGTGTCGGCTGTCCAAGGCAGCAAGAGTCCTTCAGAGACGTGGGGTGTGTCACAGCCGAGGCTGGGGTGGGGAGCGGGTCCAAAGCCAGCTCTGGCCGTAGATCATTCCAGGTGCTGAGCTTTGGATGCTTTCCGAAAGGTCAGCTTACCAGGGCATATGCCCCTGAAGTGGAGCTGAAGTTGAGGCTACTGCCTTAGTATTTCCAGGGTTTTTGAGTCATTGGATTTAGAAGGAAATGAGACGAAGGAGAGCACACAGAGGCTTTCACCAAATACACTGGAAACAAAGAAGCCCGAGGGCCAGGATGGAGAGGAGGTCTCTGCGGTTGTCTCCTGGCCGGGGGGGCACGGTGTTCTTCCCAGGGAATGGCTGGGTGGCCTCTGGAAGTAAGCAGCAGCTTCCGGGGAGGAGTTTGGCCCTCTAGGACCTGAGTTTTGCAGGACTCTGCGAGAAGTCGTCTTCTTCGAACAGTGGCGCCTTCCGTCTCCGGTCTGGCGGGTGGCGTTTCAGCGTGGTAGCAGGGCTCTGGTAGAAAGGACAGGGACAGAATCAGGAATGCCCTGTTCTGGCTCAGCCGGTCGAGAGCCCTCGTCAGCCTGAGAGCAGAGCACGCTGCTTGCTCCTTGGCCACTTTGTTCTTTTCAAGGCAGTGAGCCTTCCCTCCATTTGGTTCTGAGCAGACACACACGTGGTTCTCCAGGTCCCTGGGCCTGCTGTGAAGGGCAGGGGGCATTTTGTGTCACCTTGCAGCAGCTGCTGTCATAGTCTCCAGAAAGACTCATGCAGCTGTACAAATTGTCTGCCTGAGTAGCTCTGGGCTGGGGGCGCCAGGGAGACCGGCCAGGGTATTTCTGATCCGCTGTCTACACTGTGGGAGCTCAGCCCTGGAGTGCACACACCACCTTGTGAAGACCTTTTACAAGTGAGCCCCTGTGCTCACCCCTCTCAGGCTGCAGTCCTTCCAAACCGGGCTCAGTGCAGAGCTGTGGGGAGACCCTCCCCCTGTGGGGTGGGGGGACGGAGGGCTTGAGTTGGCTTTCATCCAAAGTCAGACTCTTGATTTCTAAAAATTAAAGCAGTAACACCCATAAGCAACTTTGAAAACAGATGTGATATACTTCAGAAGCTAAATCATAGCCATTTATAAGACATAATTTTAAAATCCAGAGCTAAAATTCATATAAAACTAGAAAATTAAATATTCTGATTCAACTAAACATTTATAATTTTCAAAAATAGTCAAATATAAAAATGCAGGAAAAGGATCCTTTGCTACTATTTCAACAACAACAACAACAACAAAAAACCCAAAATCAAAACCACCCGCTATAGTTCAAATACTTCTTTGATTCTGTACTTACCAGAGCTCTGCTTGGCAAGCAGGACAAAAGTGAGAGTTACAATTCATTACTGAGGACTTAAAATTCTGGGCCACGAAACATAAATTTAATATAAATACTTCTATTTACAGATCAATGAAGGGATTCTGAAAAGTAAAAAAGAACAGAGCATTATTAATGCTGATAATTGAATGGAAAGTCCTACTCCACGGGCCATGTCAAAGCTTTCGTTAAATTATAAAGTGACAAAGGACACGATAACATGAAGCTATGGCAGGATTCTTAGGAGCCATAATTCACTGGGTCACTTCACAGAAGAAGAGTGTTTTCGTGGATCCATATATGTTAATTTCGTGCTCTCCTAACGTGAAGGCAAAGTAACACCATAATGCACTAACGAAATGGCACTGAATGGAGGCATTTCTGCCTGCCCCGATCTCTTCTGGACATGAGGGGTTATTAATGCAGGCTCACTGGCCAAGCAGGTGGCACCCTGGTAGTTGTGGTCCAAGAGATGCTTCTTCCTTCACTGAGTGAACCTGCTCAGATCAAATCAGAGATCAGCAGGCACAGGTCAGATACCTGGAGGGACTAGTGGAGGAATGACCTGAGGGAGCAGGTCAGGATGTCGGGAGTGGTGGGAGGCTTGCGCAACGAAAGAGCACGCGCCCCAGGTAAAAGGCGCTGGCTCTCTTTAGTTCCAGGTTGCTGCCAGGTAGGAAGACAAGCCCAGAGTTGCCAGGTCTTCTGATTTTTCAAGAGAAGTCAAGAATCTGCATTCTCATGTAAAAATGCTTGATTTTACATCAGAAAGCTATTTCCACTGAGATGCTTTAGGATGCAAGTAGTAAAAAACCCAGCTGATAGCAGCTTGACCAGTAGGGGTTTATTAAATTTATAAAAGAAACTGAGAAGTAGGGTCTCCTCTTAGGGAGACCGGATCTTCACTCTACGAAGCTTGAATTAATATTACAGTAAATTTCACTGTTGGTTTTTATAAGAATTCGTATGTCCTAGAGGTGCTCACAATAAGTCATATGTTGCTGCAGTGGGAAAGGAGGACCGGCCTGATGCAAAGGCAGCGTCGGGTTGGTGGGGAGTGAGAGACGTGTGGCCCCCGCCCTCCCCTCCCCCCCCCCCCCCCCAGGAAGGGAGAGGAATCAGAAAGGGGCAGGGAGCACGTGGGATTATTAGAGAAAAGCGTGGAATTAGAAAAAGCCACAGAAAGACTCAAAGGCTCGGGAGCTTCTTAAGGATTGCGCAGTGTTCTGGTTCACATGGAAACAACTCTGGCAAAATAGTTCTTGTACCTGTGTGCCAGGTGCAGAGGATAACCTTGAGCTAGAGAGGGGGATGTGTCTGCAGAGAGGGCAGCACTGGCTTCAGTGAAAGGGGAGTTTTGTGAAGTGGGCAGCCCAGCCTTATGTTAAAATGAGAGTCAGACCCCCTTTACTATGCATTTGTACAACCCCCCCCCCCCCCCCGCCGGCTCCTTCCTGCCCTCCCCCCCCCCACACCACACACTGGAGATTGTCTGAAGGTGCAGTGTTTTCATAGGCCTCACCTGGGCCTGCTGCTGCCTGAAACGACTTCAGAGAACATTCTGATCTTCAGCTGGCCATCCTGGACTGCCACGTTACTCTACATCTGCACCTGGACCCAAGAAGGACACCTGGACTCAGGGCTCGCTGCTGACAGCTCAGAGGGGAAATTTAAACTGAAGAGGGGTCGCCTATTTGAGGCTGACTTGAACAGGTGCCCACACGACACTGTATTAAGTTCCACACACATAACAGGTAAGAGTCGGCTCTGGGCTGTGCTTGGGTTCAAGTCTAGCTCAAACACCTCTGCGAACAGGTCACAAACCCCTTTAAAGACTCAGTGTCCTCATGGGTAAGATCGGGGTTTTGTGAGGATTAAATGAGGAAAGCATGTACAGGAAGTGCTTACTTAGTGCAGGGCTTGGTACATAGTAGGTGCTCAGTAAGTGTTGGTTGCCGTTGTCCAGTGTGGGCTGTCACTGTGTTGTGTGAAGCGTGGGATGTTCCACATGAGTGGATTTTCCTGAAAAAGAGCATCAGATGTCTTTCTCACACGGTGACCAGTTTTGTTTAAAATCTTTGCTCGATGAATTCTACACCCTGAACTCTCCTCGCCCAGAGGTTGCTTCCTAGAATATGACCTTTGCTCGAAGAACCTAATGCCATGATTTGAAGAGCACTTGGATACTGTATAATGGGTAATAGCGGGGTCATTCATACAATTCCTACCACTCTATAGATGAACAAACTGGGGATCAGAGAAGGCAAACCATCTGCCAAAGGTCACACAGCTTGCAAAGGGAAGACCTTGGCATCCATGCCTGGGTGACAGCAGAGCTGTGCTCCTTGTGGCGCTGCTGAAGCATGGACAGTGCTGTATCTGTGCAGGAGGAAGGGCCAGGCTCCTGGGGACCGGACGCCTCAGATTCCGGGAGAAGCAGAGAAAGCAGAGGTGGCCTGGAGGCCACAGGAGGCCCTGAGGGCTGGGCTAGCAAGTGCTTTCTTTCCCCAGGAGCCTCCAAGTTGCCAGATGGACTTCCAGAGCGGCCGGCCATAGGCGGATGACCAGAGAGAGGCAGGGAAGCAGGTTCTCAGGGGAAGGGGTGTCTCACTACCCAAAGAGCTGAGCCAGGATTCCTCAGCCCAGAAGTTGGGGGTCTTGTCCAGCCTAAAATCTGCACTCAGGGAAGTCCATCTAGCTGGTGACGTCTGCGCACCACTGTGACTGGGGTGTCCTGCTTCCTCCCTCACGAGATGATCCCTTTCTGCCATGACTGCTCCTCAGACAAGCCTGACCTGCTTTCCTTGTGTCTCTGGCCGCTGACCGCCCTTGTAGGGCAGGACAGCCATCAAGGCCCGGAGGGAAACTCCGACTCTGGGTGGGGATGGGGGTGGGGGTGGTCCTGGAGGGCTCAGTGCCAGGTGACCGGGGGCCACGGGCTCAGGGGGGTGGGCCAGGAGGGGCTTGAGACAACGGCTGCAGGAAAACCCTTGGAGCGGAGGGAGTGAAGAGTAACAGCATCCCTGGCTCCCACTCCCCGAGCGCTCACTGTGTCCAGGGCTGCCCCGGGCGGCCCCCGCGTTCTCTCAGCCGCATGCAGGGCAGCTTTGTGGGAGAGGCTCCGTTGCCACCCCGCTGTGCTGGTGGGGAAAGGGAGGCCCAGAGAGGTTCTGAAACCTGAGCTGTATCACACGGCGAGGGAGGATTTGAACCCAGCAGTCTCCGCCTGGGTGGAGACTCCAGCCTCCCCAGTGTCCCCATCAGCGGCTCCCCTGCGGGTGCGTGTCAGAACAGGGAGGGCTGACGTTGTTGTCCATCCGAATGCTTAGCTTCCAGAATACCGCTGAGCTCGACCTCTCTTCTGCGGTCTCCTCCTCTCGGGCCCCCTTGGAGGGGAGGCTGGTCTGTGGCTTCTCGGTCACTGTCACGGAGGTTCGGGAGGGAGCAGGGTAAACACAGAGGCTCGGCTGCTGTGTGTCCGGCCACTGCCGCTTTCCTTCGGCAGCAGCTTATGACAGGTCCCTCCTCTGCAGACTGTGTGCCTCGAGGGTGACAGCCTCTGAGTCCTCTGTGTCCCCAGCTCTAGAACGCACCCGGCACGGAGTAGAGGCTCAGGGGG